ATAATGAAGCAAAACAAAAGCTCCCAACTCTGAAAACTGGCTGAACAGGGCAGTTTTTGTTTTCAAGAAAGGGATGGCTGAACACGGCTGGGACCTGAGCTGCAGTCACCCTGCGGATTCAGCAATGAATTACAATGTGTTAATTCCCGCCTCCATCCCAGGTCCCAGCCACATCCCGTTGAGCTGTTTCTGATTTAAAAGCTCATGTGATAAGCTCCATACCCAGAAACCTAACTTCAGAACAGAGGGCAGCAGGGCAGAGTCAGGGCAGCTCTGGGACTAGGATACTTTGGGCTGACCCACATCAGTGCAGTCTGGGTCATCTAGAGGAGGCCAAATAGTGCTGAAAGGGAACTTTTGCTACATTATAACAATTGATCTGTTAACTTTTCCTGATCACTGAAACCTGGTGGGATGAGTCTTATGATTGGAATGTAGGAATAGAGGGGTAAAACCTTCTAAAGAGAAATAGACCAAACAGGAAAGGTGGAGGAATAGCATTATATGTCAAGGATGCTTACACCTGTGAAAAGATCCGGGACTTAAATCCTGGAAATCAGGTGGAGAGCATCTGGATAAAAATTAAAGGGGAAGTAAACAACAGGGATGTTATAGTGGCAGTTTACTACAAACCCTCAAGTCAGACTGAGGAATGGGATGATGCCATTCTAGAACAGATGACCACACACTCAGAAAAGATAGATGTAGTAGTGATAGGTGACTTCAGCTATCCTGATATTTGCTGGAAGTCAAACTCAGCCAATACTTCAAAATTTAGCAAATTACTCACTTGCCTCAAAGACAAATTCTTTGTCCAAAAGGAGAAGGGAGTTCAGGATGGATGGGAGTTTCTCAAAAGGGTGATACTGAAGACACAACCTCAAGCTGTTCCAATTAGAAGGAAAAATGGGAGATGTTTCAAGAAAACAGGTTGGATGACTAAAGAACTTTCAACTGAACTAAATTTTAAATGGAAGAGATATAAGAAATGGAAAATGGGCAAAATCACTAAAGAGGAATTCAAACAA